TTTAATTTAATTTAAAGGTCACAGTTATGGTCATTTCAGATGTTTGTGAACTTAAACCCCAGAAGGTGAATTTTAAACACAATTTGCTTAATGCACTAACTTAAACATAAATGTTTTAATATTAATAGAATATATTCTAGATTTGAATAAAAGGATGTAATATAGTTAACAGTGAAACTGACTGAATTTCATCAACTAAAGATTACAGCTGTTCAGACTATTCATGCTTTTTGACAAAATGAACTCACAATATTTTTCCCATTTCAAAGAGCTACTTTCCTTATTAGTGCAGTTTCATATTGTATTATGTGCTTCTTAACCAATTGTTTAGTCTCTAATTTAATATTTGCATGACCAGAATTTAAGCTGCTTTATTCAGAAACACAGGGTTTTATTCAAATATGAGCCAGAAGGAACCAGAGTTCATTCATATAAACTCAGCTCCTGCTGAGGAATTAGGGTCTTGTGTCAGTCAGATGTGGTCGTCATGGTGATGAGTGACAGTGAGGAGCTGAACACCTGCATCACTCTGATGGAAAACAGGCAGAGCAACACGAGAGCAGGGAACAGACAGGGAAGAAGACAAAGTGAGGGAAAACTGATGGGAAGGGGAAGATTAAGAAGTTCCAGAGACAGAAATTTAATTTGAGGAGCAGCAGGGTGGCACTCAGCAAGAGTCTGAGTGTAAACACACACACACACACACACACACACACACACACACACACACACACACACACACACACACACATTCAACCACAAAGGTGGTTGTATGGGGGGAGACTTTTCCTAGATCTCAGCAAGTTAACCCCCTTCTTCCGTCTCTCTTACTCTCCCTCATGTTATTACATCTTCACCTCCCTCTGTAATTATTTCCTCCCCAGCTCCCCCTCCTTCCTCCCCCTCTTTTTATTATTTCCTCCACCCTCGCTGTCCTTCCTCCTTTGTTACTTCTTATTTAATCTAACTTCATTTTTGCCACCCCCTCTGCCTCCTTCCCCTGTCTCCCCCCTCTTCCTCTCCCTCTACTCTGTCTGTCTCTGTTAAATGGGTGCACTGACCCCATTACAGGGTGTTGGTGTTGCTGAGTGGAGAAGAAAGAGGAAGCAATGGGGGGAAAGGAGGAGCAGGAGGAGGAGAAGATGGGAGGATGGATTGCGTTTTGTGCGTTTTGAATGGGATGATTAATGAGCATTGCCTCCAGAGGGTGTTATCCCTGCTCCGGACCAGTAGGGACGCCACTGGGTCACCCCTCTTCATTTGTTCCCCCCGCACACACACAAACTGATACACACCGAAGCGTATAGAGATCCTCAGCAAACACACCCGTCACTGCTGACATTATCATTAACAACGGTGGGAAGGTGGGATCAGGGGGCCACAATAGCAAACACAACCCTGCGTTCACAGTTCATGAGGCACTTGTTATGGGACTCCACTGCCAGGACCAACTCCTCCTCAGGATACAAAGTCCTTCCCCGACCATTTCTTTGCGCATCATATTGATTTAATTTGACAACATGATTACATCTCAAATCAAATATTAATGTGTTGATATTAAACATTCTAACCGTTAGATTTTTTTTATTAATCAAGAGCTGTACAGTATGGATTCCTCTAGTGATTTATTTTTTCCAATTACACTGTTTAGTCATTGACAAATCTTTCCTTCAGGGCTATGAAAAAGTAGTTCTCAGCTCATGTTGTAGTTCACATTATGAATCACTCAGATATATGTATATGTAACAAAAACATGAAGTCAACATTTTTGAGTAATGATAGTTTAATGTACAGTCCTCCCACATAGAGTTGTGGGCCAGATCTGGTGTCAAGCTGGCACTGCTGGCATAACAAGTGGTTTGTCAACCAGATGTGGGCCAGGCAATGATGGCACTCTTTTTAAGATGCCATGTACGCCACAACTGGCCCAACGGGTTTAGTTTTGTTTTAAGTGTCCTTGGGTGTCCTGAAAGGCGCTTTTCAAATAAAATGATGATTATTATTATTAGTATAGGTGGCACAAATCTGTCAGTGCCACAACTGGCCCAGTTGTGGTTTGGTTTATGGGACCCAGATCTGTCAATGCCACAACTGGCCCAGTTGTGGTTTGGTTTATTTGGTCCAGATTTGTAAATTCCCCAACTGGCCCACTTTGGTTAGGTTTATGTGGTGTATTTGCCTGTGTCTGGACCACCTTTGGCAAATCACATCTGGACCACTAAATGGACATCATTCTTTGCAGTATCTGGGCCGAATGTTAGTGCATTGTGTGGGCCAGACAAATTTTGCTGTGTGGGTATACCCATAAACTGAATCCTGACCAGTTCCAAGAGGAAAATGATGAAGATAATGTCAGAGTGCAGACCAGCAGGGAAGTCCAACAAGACACAACATGCAGAGACCAAAATAAAGTTCATAAGTAGACCCAAAGCAGCTAAATACATGGTAATAAAAACAGCCAGCACTCCAAAAGTGTCAAACAATAAAAAAGACTTGAACAGATCTTGTGTAATTTTTTAAAAAAGCCATCTTTCAGAAGTCAAGATGAGATGTTCACCATTTTGAGAAAGGATGTGTGCAGAGCCAAATAAAAATGCTATGGACTGACGCTTGTGATTTCACTGACCACAGTGCCATTAATCTATGCAGAGCTTTTAAAAAAAACACCTCTGCATGGCGGGAACAAAGCGGCCAACCAACTCTGAATGGCTGTAATTTTCAAAAACAGACATGATTCCAGTGGAAAAAAATCACTGCATGAGCTCTGAAGCAATTTAAAAAAAAGAGCCAATGTGAACGAACAAGTACAAGTTAAAACTCTTCTCTGCACAAAGAAAGAAAAACAAGACTGAGAGAAAAGTCTGCCTCCAAAAGGGCCTCGGCTTATTTTTGATGGTCTGAGTGAAAAAAATGGAAATGTGCCCTGTGGCCTTGATGCATCAGAAATTGAAATTTGTTTTTTCGAGTCGTAGATGCTGCGTCCTTCAGGTTAGAGGGAGAGGCGGCACCCAGCTCGATATGGCATCAGTTTCACAGCAGACATCTGTGATGGCGGGTGCCGTCGTGCAACTTAAACATCTGTGAAGGTCTAACAATGTTAAACATGATGCATGGGTTTTGTTGCTACCGACCAGATGTCTCAGCTCTTATTTGCATTTATCCCTTTTGTTTGCTTAGATCTGTAGATCCTCTCTGATCCAGATCAACATTCAGGAGCAGAAGAAACTCCTAGAAAACGCTAGCGCCTTATAATCTAATTATATACCCATAAATTAGATTACTTCTCTGCATTCTGCTTGTAATTTACTGCCTCCAACGCTCGCTCTGCTTGACATTAAAAGCATTAAACCGGAGAACAAAGGTTGGTTTTTAATGCAAAGCAGCCACGAGAGAAGAAAATGCACAAGTCCGCAGCAATTCCTAAATTGTTTTTGGTCACTTTTGCTGGCGTATTTTGTTTTATATTATTTAAAAAAAAAACCAACAGGTGATAATTAACGTACATACAACTGCTCTTGAATTGAACTGACTTTATAAGATTGTTGGGTTTTGAAATGTTGCAGATTATTGTAACCACAAAAACAACAGCCTGTTTGTCTGTTCCGTTGTTGCCACAATGCAGTTCCACTCAACCACTGCAAAAAGTTTTTGTTAGAGGCAGGGGCATTGAGAAACAAACCTCCCATCTCGTCCTGTGTCACAAAAGGTTGAAATTCATAAACTTTTGCAATTGCGTCACCAATTAGTAGGGAGACACTAGTTTTTAGCTGAAACCTCTGGTTCTTGAGCTTAAATTCAAAGTCACAGTGTGGTTTGGACACCCCTTCAAAAAACCGATCCGTCGTCAGCCTTAACATTACATGTACAAGTGTGTCTCAAAGCAGGTTCTGATGCTGTTCCTTTAAATCCAAACAAGGTGCTTCGTGCCCTGTCCCTCTCCAGCTTCCAGAGCGGTCCATTGTAGCTTGAAAGAAGTGTTTATTGTGGAGGGCTG